ATTGTGCTTTTCCAAATGAGAGCCTTTGATTTTCTTGCTGTGCAGTATCTTTAAAGCCTGAAGTTCTGTACTTAGAAATACTAAAGAGAAAAGCGTTATTATGGCAGATTTAGAGACATAAATAATTCTGCATCCACACTCACATATACAGATACAATATACGCTTACAAGACAACCACGATAAATGGAAGACTCTCAGTTCTCTTCTGAACAGGTCAGTATCAGCTTTCCATTCTTTATCCAAACTCCCTCTCACCTGACTTCCTACCTTCAGTCCACAAATTGCATTTAACTGCTCAATTCACTTCCACCACCAGAACCCTAGTTCCTTGGCTAGTTTCATATTATCACATTGGTTCCTGCTGCCACTCCTTTGTCCAGCTTAAACTTTGACTTCACTTCTCTCACTCCTGCTTTCAGTAGCTTCAGATCACACAGCATTTCTGTTCAAGCTGTGCAGAAACCTCTCAGAAAAGCAGGAAGCAAGGTCTCAGTTTAGGAGAACTGGAACTAGATCAAGAGAAAGATCAGGAGGCCTCAGTAGGTTGAACCATACTGAAAAGAAATTTTAGTTTCACCTAAAACAATTTTCTAATACTTTTCAATTTTCCACTTCACACAAGTGAGCTGATGTGCGCTTAGCTGAGTTGTAATGATTGTACACATCAACTTAAAGACATATGAAGAACTCTTTAATGGAAATTGTACAGTGATGATAAAGCACGCGTGTAAAATACTGTATTATAGATGGGATAAATGGTTACTACTTACACAGGAGTTTAAGACAATCTTCTTTCCCTCTCAATCTGTCCTTAACGTCTCCAGATATAAGTGACGAATATGGACAAGCCATTTCTCTCAGAAAGCCACTCATCTCAAGCTGGAAACTCTCTATGTCTTTGATACCTATGGAAATAAATGCAAAGCTTATGTCTTTTTACAGAATCACCAAACTGCAATCTAATTTTCTTAACTTATACACTTAAATTGCAGATTTCAACAGCCCAGACAAAGACTAACCACCTACCACACTAACAACATTTTCTTTTTTTCTTGAAAAAGTCCTACAAGCAGACAAGCCTTACAACAGTATATTGTACTCATGCTTTGAATGAGAAGCTGAATTTGTGTCTCTGAAGACACAAATGCAAATGAACATCCCAAGGAACTGAACAGTTTGTCACAAAATAATGTGTCAATCCAATTAATTTTCTGATGAAAAAATTACAGGAGTCATGAGCCCATTATTTTCAGTGACTGGTTTTAGTTTTACTACTTTTTTTGTGAAAACATAAGTAATAGGAAATCTCATCCAAATTCCAGCACTCAACAGAAATAATCAGGTAGCACTACTGAGCACCTTACATATCTACACACAGTGCTGAATGGAATGCTGCATTGGACCAACAAGATGAAAATACCAGGCACTGCAATTTAAGCCATAAAAATATGATTACATATGTTAATTACTTTTTATATTTATGTAGACCTAAATCCACCCAAAATAACCTTTTTTTTTTCCTTTTGAAACCATCTTCACAACACAAGACTTTAATCTAAGAGCTACATATACAGAAATATCAGTCTCAGCTGGGCTATCTTTCAGTTATCTTGTAAACTTCAACACTGTAACTTCATTGTTAGCTGAACAACAGGGGTCTAAATCCACTAAACAAATACAAAATTGCTTTACTAAATTTGCATTCATATACCATCTCCTGAAGTGATGCTTTCTTCCATATTGCAAAGTGATTTTATTTGGGAACCTAACCAAACACAAAGCTCAAAAAATTCTGGTGAAGACAATCCATTTTCAGCTGCTTTGTTCAATGCCTCCTCCTCCAAGAGAGCACCTGTGTACCTGCACAGACAGAGAAATATTAGTAATAGGAAGTAAGTTTAATGTAAAATATACATGTTTTTAAATTATTTTACTATAAGCTAGTTAGTAATTATACTTGAAGGAATTAATCTTTGGAAGTTACTTTTGTCAAGGAATAATTCAGATTTTTTTTTTAACACACCAAGAAACTATTGGTCAAACAATATAGTTTGTCAGAAAACAGGAGGCAGGCATTTTTACATGTGTACGTGAAAACAGACTTTTAAGTCTCAGAACAAGCTTAATAGAGAACTTAAGTATTAGTTCAAGCGTTTAGTCAAATTTCCTTTTACATTAGTAATTCACAGCCCTAGAGTACTGCCAATTAGACAACGGAAAATTACATCGTTTCTGCTCCGTAGCATGCGAAGCACATCGCGGGAGGTCGGCAGGCATCAAAGAGCGAGACGCTGCCCGCCCAGACGCCGCTGCCGCCCCTGTGTGACTGACCCCGGTGTGTTCCCCCGCACCTCCCGAGCGGCCGCGCCCTCTGCCCTCCCCGCTCACGCCCAGGGCGAGCCCCCGCACCCGCCGTGACCACGCTGCGGGGCAAGGCCCGAGGCCCGACCCCACCGGGTCCCCCCGGCACCGCCGCGACGCGGGGCCCGTCCCTCCGCCGACCCCTCTCTCCTCTCCGCTCGCCGCCGCTCCCGCCTCCGGCCCGGCCTCCCGCCCGCGGCAGCGGTGCCGCGCTCCCCGCCCGCCCGGGTTTCCCCTGGCCCCCCGCAAGGGAAGCTGCTGCCGCTCCCCGGTTACCCGAGGGCCTCCAGCGCGTCCAGGATGTCACTCTCCATCGCCGGGCCCGGCGGCAGCTCCCTCATGCCGGCGCCGCGCCGCGCGGTGCCCGCCCCAAACCGGCCCTCCGCAACCCGCGCCCGCCGCCGCGTTCCGCTGCCGCCGCGGGAGCCCGGGCGGGGAGGCCCCGGCTGCGCCCGCCCCTCTGCCGGGCCCTCCCGCCCGCAGGGGCTGCAGAGCCACCGGGGGCCGCCGCGCACAGGCGGCTGGGGATGAGTCGTTCGTGGAAGCCCGGGCTGGTTCTGCCTTTCCTCCCGCACCGGGGCCCTCACCCTTCCCCCGGCGGGGCTCGTCTCCGGGCCCTGCGGCTGTGCCGCGGACGTGGCCCAAACCCTGCCTGGTGCATGGGCTCAGCCGACACCTACCCCTCTCCATCGGGCACCAGCCCCCTGAGAAATGCGGGACCAGGAGATACCACTGCCACCGTTTGAGCTCCGGACAAGGCTCATGCCAGGGCAGCCGGCTCTGCGGCCCTTAGAGCTACCCCAAGCCACTCTAGGACATGGTTGAAAAAAACAGCTTTTTAGGCCTGCACCTCAGTGGTATTTCTGGGATCTCTCAAATTGTGAAATTCTGCACGAGACAGTGCAGACCTTGCCTCCAGAGCACCTGCAGTCCTGGCTTTCCTCGGCTCTGCTGTGCTGGTTTTGGCTGGGATAGGGTTAATTTTCTTCCCAGTGGCTGGTATGGGGCTATGTTTTGGATTCATGCTGAAAACAGGGTTGGCAATATAGATATTTTTGTTATTGCCTAGCAGTGCCTACATAGACCAAGGCCTTTTCTGCTTTTCATACTGCCCCGTGTGTGAGGGGGTTGGGGATGCCTGGGAATTTGGGAGAGGGCACAGCTGACTGCAGGGATATTCCATATCGTGTGGCATCATGCTCAGTATATAAAGCTGGGGGGAAAACGGTGGAAGGGGGGATGTTTGCAGTGATGGCATTTGTCTTCTGAAGTAACTGCTGCCCTGGGGGTGACTGAACACCTGCCTGCCTGCCCATGGGAAGCAGTGAATTAATTCCTTGGTTTGCTTTGTTTGCATGCATGACTTCTGCTTTACCTATTAAACTATCTTTATCTCAATGCACAGCTGAGTCAAAAGTCTTCTAGCTTTTATTCCTTACTTCTTAACCTCTGAGTGTTCTCAATTTTACTCTTCAGATTCTCTCCCTAGTCCCACTAGTAGGGAGAAGGTGAATGGCTATGTGTTGCTTAGTTGCCAGATGGGGTTAAACCTTGACAGTCCTTTTGTTTTTTTTACCAGTGTTTTCCTGCAAGGACCTTCAGAAAGTCCAGCAGCTGAATCTGTGATGGGGACCCATAAAGACATGCAATCTGATGAAAGTAACTACAACATAGATATTCTTAATGCATGAAATCTCCACAATTTTTGAAGCAACTATTTTGCAATATTAATTATATATATTCTTTAACAGAAGACGTGGCTTTCTTGAGTGCTAAGCTTTGAAAAGTGGGAAGCAGGACAGCTGTGACATCCTCCCACACCCACGGACAGGAATCTAGAAATTAAAAACATTATTGATGGCAGTTAGTGGAAAGAAGAGCATCCTAAAGCCTGATACGCTTATGTCGACCATATGTGTGCACCAGTGCCAGTAACTCTGCGGTCTCTTTCACAGCTCTCAACTGTTGCGTACCATATGACTGAGATTTAATACGACTTTTGTTTCAAATGGGTTAACGTGATCATTTCTGTAAATGAAGGAGCATGCACCTGAGAGCAGATATTCTGAACATAAACTCTTGATCCTTTTTAAACGTTAACATCCAACTAATAGAATGAGAAAACAAGATGCAAAGAAATAGACAGACATAGCCAGTTCTCTTTGCTTTTTCTTTCCTTTTTTAAAGCTGTATCTCTGTGGTACCCACAGTGAATCATCACTGTACAGTTCTGTAGTTTTCATACCACCCAATAATGCAGGCTAAGAAAAAGAACTGGGAAAAACTGGAAGAGAAAATACCATAACGTAATCTATCAAGACTAGAAAGTAAACTGGTAATTTAAGAGATACTGTGTGGTACAAGTAGGTGGCAGCATTGTTCCCTGGATCTTTCTGCACATTTTCCTACATGCCATGAAAGTATTTTGCTAATCTGTGTTACAGGACAATACATAAATTAGTTATTTCTCCCACTGTCTTTTGATAACATTGCATATATATGATAGCCAAACACATGCATCAATCGCTGTTTTAATTGCACAGGATTTCTTTGAAAAATCATAACTTTTCTCCATAGTAGAGACATTATGTATATGAGGAAAAATAACTTTAAGTTTCACAAATTGTGTATTAACACCCACAATTGAAAGACATTTTTGCTTGTGGGCATATACTTAGGTTTTTCCCACAGGGTTGCCATTCTTTCAGTCCACAGCTTTCTCCATGACCATTTCTGAGCTTCCCATCTGTGAGAGGGGAAAAAGAATCTTGATAGCACTCCTGTGCCCTCTGCAATATACAAACATGAATATAAAAACACAAACTCACAAGCAAGAACATCAAAGGAAGATATCTCAGCATACAGCCATCACTTTCAAACAAAAGGTGCATGTAGCTTGAATTGGGTCATTGCCCTAGAGCTTTTCAACTTTTGTCAGGATTTCTTTTTCAATAGTCTGCCCGTTAGCCATCTCCCTCAGCAATCAGATAACTCTTGGTATTAGCACGAGGAAGGAGTATAGGTACATAGCCAACGTCAGAAAATTAGGATAGCGCTAGGATTGGCACTGATTTGAATCAACTTGAACTGATAAAAAATGGCAGCTGCAGCTGTCGGCACAGTGAGGTGAAGATGGGGATTTCGGGGACAGGTCTTTTGCCAATTCATATTAAATCTACAATTACAAGGTGCCTGTAATCTTACTAAAACCCAAAACACGTAACTCCATTTTCTATTGAGGTAGGTAAACCTCAACCACTTACCAAACTACTTGTATGAATGTGACAAATCACAAATGGTTATGCAGTTCAAAACTGCTTGAGCAGTGTTCTTTCTGCTGGGCTTGCAACGGGCACTGGACATTCCCATACAGCCTAATGGCAAGAATGGGGTGGAAGGGTCCTGCTTACTCCTGCAGCAGACTTCCTGGTCTGTACTGCCAACAGAGTGGGCTGTGGGTTCTACGTGGTGGGTACAATCTGCCTGCTCCTAGTATGGAAAGTAAAGTGCCCACATATGTGTTAGCTGCATGTTTCAAAAGATTTTTTGCTTTGTTCTTACATGCAGCACATAAATGAAAAATGAGATCTGAATTCAAACAAGAAGGAGACAGATATTACTTTAATGCAGAAGAGGTACAAATAATTTGTAGTACTAAAAACATGTAGCAGACAATTAATTGACCACTAGGGGGGATCATAGGAGTGGAGAAGGACTTGAATGTACTACATGATAAATTCTTTCACAGAAGCTTGCCTGTGTGCGATGTTGTATTGTATGAGCACAGTTCAGAACTTATTGAGAAAAGACAGCACTTTGTGTGTATTTAAGTTAATATAAGCAGCTTATATTGAGTTTTTAAAACAGACCAATAACAGGTTTAATTGTTGCAATGAAGGAACTTCTTTACACAGGTATTTTTTCATCAGTTTAAATTAGTATAGGATAAACCTGTTCAGCTTCCACCATCAGCAAATGAAGTAGATGTGAATGATGTGATAATAACTTCACCGAACCTGATAAGTACAAGAATCCTGCCCATCAATTTACAGGCTACCCTACTGAAATTGAAGTTGATACCCTATCATAAGCATTTGATTTAGAAATCACCCTTCTAACATCTTCCAGACCAAACCAAGCCCCCTGAAGTAGTGACATTAAAGTTTTCAATCCAAAGTTAATTCCTTCAAGAAACTATGCACAGTGATAAGTTCTGCAGAATTCAAAACTCAATTTCTTGACAATGGACTGCTCTCAAACTACTTTTCCGGGCACATCTCTCTCCACAGGTGGTGGGGGAGAGATCAGAACCAGGCAGTCATCAATACCGTGCACAACGGCTGGAACATACATCTTGACTAAGAAGATGGTGAATTTCCATTGTCCTGGAGTTGGAGTAAAATTAATAAGGCACAGTCTAGCTCTGTGATGTTACAGACTCATGTGCACATAGTTGAAGTTACTGAAATTTTTGCCATTTACTTTAGAAGTAATAGGTGTGGGACCTAAATATTTCAGTGAGATGTGCTGGTACCTTTTAGCATCACTAAATAAATATAAGTAATTTGCTTCTGTTTTGTTTCTAGTAGCATATTACGAGAAATATTATGACTATTGAAAGAACCTAGACTTCTATTGCTTAAATGGAGTCTCACATTGAATATATTAATACACGACAATATAGATCGTTTAATACAGACAATACAGGCATTGAACATAAGCAGATTTACAAAAGGGAAAGCTGAGTGACTTGTGGAATTACCATCAACTTTCACCTCTGTCAGGGGACTCAGTTTAATTGTCTTCTCACTACCAAGATAGTAATTACACTGTGAGGACTAATTACTTCTGAAGTTTCTTGTTTTGTTTTGTTTTGTTTTGTTTGTTTATTTGTTTGTTTTTAAGAGAAAGTGAGAAGATAATTTAGCCGGTAGGTGCCCAGTGAAGATGTCTTTGCAGAAGAGGCTGCAGAGTACTGGTCATAATTTTGTAGACACCATTCCATTATGAATGAGATTGAAGGCACAAACTAGTGCAACACATTAAGTGAGCAAAAAAAGACAGACCTGCAGTAAGTCTGGCCCCTGCTACAGCAAATGTTCAGCCTGGCAGGACAAAGCAATGAATATTCCAAGTTCATATTTCTCATTCTTTTAAAAATAAACTGTGCCCGTTTTGCTCTTCAGACCATATGGCATGAATCATTTCAGTGAAGCATTCATCACATCATGATTTACACTGACATTATTTCTTAGAAGTTAAGTGGTGGGGTTTCACTGTGAGGAGCTTTATGTATTAAAGCCATTCTCTGTTGTCTTTCACTTGTTTCACTGAAAGGTAACTTAATCTCAGCTCAAAACTGGAGTTACTGAAGTGAAAAAGCAAGCAGAAAGTGTTCCTGCTTTTAGGTTTTCTGTTTGAAAATTGATTTCCTTATAAATGTACACAAGCTTTTTATTTTAAGTTTTTATACTCATGTATGATGTAGGCATAGGTACTTGATTGCTATTTATTCTGTTTTCATTTTAAAAAGTACAACAGAGGTAAGTCTTATAACAGTTCTTATGCCAATGCAAATTTAATTAGAAAATGCTGAATATTTAAGTGGCAAAGAAGGTATGTGACCAGGGGTGTCAGTTATCTGAGAGGGATTCTCTGATGTCAGAAACCTGCTACTGAGTCCCGACAAGCTGTGTCAGTAACACTGGAAGGCTGCAGAGTTCTCTAGGAAAGTGTGTGTATGAGGTACACACTGTTCACAGCAGCTGTGCTGCATCCACAGGGAAACTGGGTATACAGATTTGCAGTCCCTTCTTTCAGCTCATAACTTTTTTATCATTACCTGTTTATTTATTCCATGGATTTGCCATGGAATTACATGAATTTTCTGTGTTTTTTTCCCTTCTTAGCTTCTTCCTGATGAGAAATCGGGAAGAACTTCTGCATATAGTAAGATAAAATTATTTCTCTGCTAGTCCTTTGCCTCGTGTGACCTTTGTAAATCACTTAACACCCTGTGATTCAGGTGTAAAACCAGTGTTATCTGAGTAGTAAAGATGGTAGACCAGAACTTAATACATTTAAGAAATAATAATAATAATTATTATTATACTATCCCTAACTGATAAAATGTAAAGTCTCAGAATATCTATCTTAATTAAAATAAAAGATAGGAAACAGAATATTGTTAAATGAAGGGGATAGATTACTTCTTAAAAAAACCCAAGCCAAAACATCTTCAGGTGGCAAATTTTGGGTCTTGAATGTAAAGCTGAGACTTTCAGAGTATGAGACATCCATTCCACTGGGGCTTGACTCACAAGTCATACTTCACAATTTATAGCAAAACTGGATTCTTAACATATTGGAATAAAGATTTTTAACAAGCTTCCATCTGTTAAACCATCAAGTTGGCTTGGTCTGATCATGCTTGCTGTTTTAATAAATAGCCAGCATAATTTTTCAAACCACAGCCTTCAAATTAGCTTGGAGCATTTGAACTCCACTAGTTGTGGTCAGTCCTGAAAGATTGACGTTGCTTGTACGTTTGGAGCAGCCCAGACCACAGGGAGGGCCCAACCTCCCGTCCCCGTGGCTTGGAAGAAAGGCATACCAGTGCCATTTAGGAAGGGTGGGCTGAGAAGTGACCTCAGGGATAGCCACTTCCTTGACTAATGGTATTGCAAATGAGACATAATTGGTCTCAAACAGGAAGGGAGTAAACCACTAAAGTCGGAGTGCAACTCCCTGTCTGGAAGGTGTGTTTGCCACAGCAAAAAAAAAAAAAAAAAAAAAAAAAAAAAAAAAAAAAAAAAAAAAAAAAAAATAAAAAAAAAAGCTTCTTTGTTAGCATGGGAAAATGAACTGAGGGCATATTTGTCTTTTTGTTGTGTTATTCTTTTTCAACAGCACAAATGAAAATGTCAAAAAAGAAGTGTGCATGGAATGAAAGTTTTGCTTTTCCCTCTCCAAAGTAAGACACGCTTCTGATGTAAAGGCTTCAGTAGTGCTATACAAGCAGTTTTCAGGGAGGCCAGTAATGGAAAGGCTTCAACAACCAAGATTAGAATCCAGTGTTTTGCATTCACTGCCAGAAATTCCCTCCTAGGAAGGGAATTAAGGTACAAATCAAAGTGTGACGTGAATGTAAATTGAGATAAACTTGTGATAATGAAACTGAACACAGGCTACTCACTTCTGTGTGTTTAACTTGGAAAGTAAATAATGATGTATCAATAATGAGTACTTTGTGATAATCATGTTTTGAGGGAAAAATCAACAAACAGCCCCCTACCTTACCTATCTAACACATTTATCCTAGCACTCGCTAGTGCCAAATTACCTTTCCTGTATAATCACTGTATGTGAGAATAGAGAGAATTAGTTCAATATCTTAAATGGTTTTCTCTGAACAACAGGCATTAAATTAATAATCTGCTGTATGTATGCTCATTGAAAATGAAAACTGCTAGAGTTTGTGGATAAGAATCTGAAAAGGAGCAACAGGAGTCTGTGAGAAGGAGGGAGAAGGAACATTTATAATATATATATTTTTTGATAATTTTATATATTAGTATTAAAGGTTAAAGCAAAGCATCAGTAAAGTTAAAATAAATGTTTGTGGTCCAGAGTAAAGCATTCAAGAAGCCATCAAAAAGAATTCATAATGGAGAGGTGATTTAAAAAAAAGGATTAAAAAATGGCTAAATATTAACAGCTAAAAAGATACACTAGCAAGAAAGCCTGTGCATGCTTGCATTATGTCCCATTCCTCTCAAGCCCTGAGTGATAGAAGTATCCAAAATAGGAAGTGATTTGGATGCTAACCAAGTTAAACCTATACCGTGAAAGGTTTTCTTATGAGACTATAGGAATAAATGAATTGTGCAGACTTTTGTCTCTTCTCCATCTTCTCCATTTCTACATCCATGCTCGTCAGTTTCTCATGCATGCTTTCATGGAGTGTTTGATCCAGACTTTTTCTCCTCTCCTTCTCAATCTTGTCCTTGTCCCAGTTCCCCTCATGAACTTCAAGAGACTGCAAAGCACAGGAAGTGCTAAGGATTCAGTGAAATGGTTTCTTATATAATCTGATCTGTGTGAAGCAGCTGGGATGACATGGCTGAAATAATAAAAAAATGAGTAATTAAAGGGGCATGAAGCATTTGAGCCCAAATTATTGAAATCTGACAGCACTGGAAGCAAACAAAATGTCTTATGTGGGCCTCAATGCATGCAGTTTTCCTCTCATGGAAAATCTAGTACAAGCTCGCATACATGCACACATTTATACATATACATATATATAAGAGCAAGGCCCTAACTTATATTTCAGATTGGGGTGAGGTTTCAGTTCTTAGGCTTTCTCTTTCAAAATGATTCACCTATCTACTGCTTTTGTGAAAAGTTCTTAGCATAATTCCATTGGATTCTCCTGTAAAAAAAAAAAGGTATTTTTAGAAAGCTTATTTTGCTTTGCCTTGAACTGTAGGCCTTTTTTTTTTTTTAATAGTAACTTTTTGGTTTTCTTTCACCCCTTTCACCCCCTCTGTTGCTATTCCTTGAGAACTGTGGGTGGCCGATGAAGCAGTGAGCATCACATGATGTCACTTAGCAACCTGATGTTCATAAATAGCAACAATCATTTTCTAATGGCTATTTTTCCCCATCAGGAAAAATGTTTAGATCCAGTCTATTCTGACAGTGCCAAATTCTTCTCCTGACCTTCCAGTACATTTATTGCTTTTTCTTTCCTTTTGGAGATCCAATATGACATGATAGTATCATGGCTGATGCTATTAGAATGCTTCTAATATATTTCTGAGCTTACTAGTTACACATAATGACAGTAATTTTTAGCACACAGCTCTTTAAGAACAGTGTCCTCTCCCTTTTCCCAAATGCCTGCATTGCATAAATCTCAGATGCTCTCAAAATACTGTTTGTGAAATGAAATCAGAAGGGTCATCCACAAGTGTTTTTTCTATATTTTAAATGCCTCTGGGCAATGCTCAGGAAGCTCGAAACTTTTTCAGTTCTTTCAGAAAGAATCTGGCAGGATTTGTGTGTATCCTCTTAATATTAGTATAATTGTTTGAAATAAAATACAGCTTTGCTGTAAAGGACTGTCTTTTGTCAAGTTTTTGCAAATAATTTATCTTCATTTGAGTATTAAGACAGAACTCAAAAGATAAGATTATAAACTACGAAAAGTAGAATTGTGCAAGCCTTTGAAAAGGATCTTGCAAAAAATCACTTAAGAAATATAGCAAAATTATGCAACCACCTAAGCCCTGCTTGTCCCCAAGATCTCTATCTGAGAGCATAGAAAGAAAATCAACCCCAAATCCTGTCTGTGCAGCATCAGTTCCCCTCTCCCTAACCATATGGCTGCCCCTCAAAGAGTTGGGGGCTCTGTAGCTGAGAAGGGGGAGTAATGTGGGTGAAACCACGACACTGTCATCGTTTGTGCGTGACCACTTCCACAAATCCTGCAGCTATTCAGTATATGCTCTTCTCCCTCTCACTATTTGCATTGCTAATTCATATACCAAGTAAGTAGTGGCTGAACTACATGGATAGCAAAAAGTGTCTGTTTTTCTTGCACCTTTTGGTTTTTTTATTTGATTTTTTAAAAAAAACTTAATATACCACAGAACAGAGAAGTAAGGAAGATTTGACTTCATTTCTATTTCCAAGACATCTTTGCCATTCATACCTTTTTTCTGTGGAGCTGCATTTTAATTCCATAAAACTAGGGCGGATAAGATCTTCTTCTGATAAGAACATTTATCCAGAGAGCTCTATAGTGCTCTCACATAGCTGTGCTATCTCATATCAGCAAACTTTGCTATCTGAGCCACTTTAGGCACAGCAGCTCATACCTGGAGGGTGACAGAAATAAAATTGCTACAAGCAGTCTTGAAATGTTAACTTCAATGTGTCTGGTGGAAGCCAGAAGAATAGGAACTGTGAAATACACCACTTCCTCTTGTTGGGGGAAGTGAGGACAGAGGGACCTAATCAACAGCTTTCACTCTACTAAAACCTTTAAACTCAGCTTAACAGGAGAGGCAGATAAAGTGATCCATGTAATATATTTCTACAATTTCTTCTTGCAAGCGAGTAAAGTTAAGACTAGTGTTACAAAAGATGAATTCATCCAAGCTGGGATTTTATGTAAGTTCTGAAGACTGCAAAAATGAATGAGAGATTATGGCCTCTCCAAGTGCATGCTTTGTTCCCTGCCAATGCAAGAATGTTGTTTTGTTTTGGTTTAATTCATACTTTTATTTCTATATACATGATGGGATTACTCACAGAAATTGTCACATTCAGGACGTGCTGGGTGGAGACATAAGCAGAGCAAGTCCTTAGCCTGATTACTTCCCAACATATTTTTATTTGCCTTACAATCCTTTTACACGTTACAGTGTAAATTAGAGCTGGAAAACATAGCTAAATAGAAGACAGATGTAGCAAAACTAAAATCTGAAACAGTTACGAGCTTCAATGAAGATGAGTTAGGAATATTCCTTGCCCTTTGTATGTCAGTAGATGGTGCTCTGTTTATATATGCAGACACAATGTATGTGCACAGAATGGCTTTATAGACAGTGATTATTATGTAGCCTCCTCTTGGTGCAATGGAAAGGATTTCTGGGGAGAAAAAGTATATTAAATTCAAGCTATTCATAATTTTAGTTATTTTTACTTGAAAATATACGTTTTGCCCCTTATTTTCTTTCTAACTCCTCTTTCAGTTCATGTTGGTTCAAAGAGGGGTTTTGATTCAGTAGATCCTTCTGGCTTCTGCAGCAGCATATCAGGTTGCAAATAAAAACAAACTAGTGATTAAGTTTGCTTCACAACTTAACTGATTTTCATCATAAAACCCATACACACAGCTATATGTTGCTCCATATAAAGATCCATTTCAGTCCTTAACTGAGAATGATGTTCTTTAACAGTGTCTCAAAACCCCCATTGTAGCAATAAACTTACTTTTAATACATTTTATGTTAGCTCTTGATGCTAATCTTAACCAATTATCATTTTCCTTATTTGTTCTGAACATTAGGGGACACCTATAACATATTTGTATTAAGAATACTCTTGTTGGAGCTTTTGCTCATCCTTATTTTATTTTTTTTTTTTAAATACAAACACCCATTCAGATGCCAAACTACCTAGAAGTTTTCCAATCATAAACGTGAAAAAAAAATTAGGTAGTGTTGAGACATGACCAAACTTTGAGGTATGATGTTTCCTATTTGCTTAACTAAATGAAGAGTCAGCATCTTGCAGGACAGGAAGCTTTTTGTTTGGGACCAGTTAGAAATCACAGCATGTATAAGTATGTAAGATGTCAATGGCCCACTATGGTGTCAATGGAAAAGTTCCTTTAAGACAAATTGAGTACACCTTGTAGCACTCAAGGATCATTTCACCACTCCTTTCTCACACAGGGTTGGTGCTCCTTGCTGTCAGTTTAAACATAAATATAAAATAAAGGTAGTGAAAAAGTATTTTTAGATGGAAAAAAGTGGTTTTAGTTGGTGATTCCACTGAGACACTACTTTGCCTCAAGAAGAAGAATAGGGTGGACAGAAGGGAGGAATCAGGACAACATGTTGGAGCAGTTTCCAGGCCAGTTTTCAGCTCTGTCCATATTCTTGCAGACAAGTTAATGGAGTTGCTCAAATCTTCCTCTGGGTTTTGCATGCTACCAGCTGTAATGCATGCTGTGATGTAAGCATCCAGCCTATATTCTACAAAGCATGAAAAAAGACTGAGAAGTCAAAGGCTGAAGCTTGTAAGACTGATTGATCTGAGCAAGAGGTAGCTTAGTTATCCAGTGGGAAATATCAAGGGGCATGCAAGGGTCTGTGTTGCTGTTGTTCTGAGTAACAGTGACATTTAGTTTTTAATCCCTAAAAATACAGGGTTGAAGGTGGTATACTTCAACTCACTATTTCTGCATTTTATTTGTGGGAGATACAAATTCCTACCTCTACTGTGTAGCCTTTGGTCACACCCCTCAGGTCACACCTCTTCAACAACTCCCCAGAGCCTTCTGTCAACCCCCACCCTGGCTGCTGTCCCAACATCATTTCCCCAATCCCATCCCTCCATGGCCTCCCAATTTCACCCCCATCACATCCCTATCCCCATATCACTAGGATGTCTGAGGCTTTCTCATGCAAGCCACCTTCTTAAAGATTGTCAATTATTAATAAATTGGTTTCACAGAGAAATTTCTAGAACTGAGTCCTCCCCCACCCAGCTGCATGCCTTGAAAATGTGCCTTTTTGATACAGCAGATATGTGTTTTATAGAAAGCAAACTGCACTAGAGAAATTTGTCAGAGTACCCAGTGGATGGAACAATCACCTAAGAACAATTCCAACAGCACTGATGGGGCCCAAGCCTGGGACCCACAGCCTTAGAAGGTTACTCAGACAGGCTGAACTATTGGGACTACCTCACATGCCCTTCTTACTGGAGAATTTTAGGTTATAAATCAAGACTCATATATAAAATATTATGAGGAACCTCTGTTTTGTGAATCCTGGCAGAGCCCCAGAGCTGCCAAGCAACCTGCTGTTTGATACGATTGCAACTTGATGCACCTGTAGGTCTGGCCAATAGATAACATGAAGTCACACATGAAACATTAGGTATTGAATGATTTCAGGTGCTTTTGACTGCTGAGTAGATAAGGAACTGAATGTATCTCTAAGTGTCTACAGAGACACTTGAGGAAAAAAATTCTTGCTCTGAATTTTAGCTCACAATCCCTGGTGAGACTCACTTGGCTGTCCATGAAAAGAGAATACCTCCTGGAATTATTGTAAAGGAAACCACTTGGTAAGATTCAGAAGTGTATGGGAAGTATAGCTGTGCAGAAAGTGAGGCAGGTTAGTGTGTTTGATAGAATAAGACACTTTCTTAAAATATAGATTTCAGGAAAAGAAAATACATTTTCAATCAAAAATGTTTTTTTCCTAGATCCTATAACTGTAGTAAACATTTATGAAGAAATGACCGACTTGAAGAAATGACTAAAGATTAACAGCTTTAGTTTTATATCCTAGCAGCCAAAGCAGTTTCTCACTTTGT